AGTGTCTCACACTTTTTCACACTTCTTTAAACTCAAACCCGCTTCTGTAAAATATGCACCCACTGAAATCTCTCAGCATTTTTTAAAAATTCTCAGCACCACCTCACTCCTCCTGTTGAATGTTTTCAGGGTAAACTGATGGATGGAAAGGTGATTGACACATCTCTATCCCGGGATCCTCTTGTTGTCGAGCTGGGGAAGAGGACAGTCATCGCTGGTAAGTTAACAAATGACAATCCTTAAGAGCAGCTCTGTCAGACTGATTAGCTTATATTACATAATTAGTGGTGGGTGTGCTTTTTATACCGATCGAATGTCTCTGTACAAATTTCACATCAGGTTTGGAGCAAAGCTTGATTGGCATCTGTGAAGGGTAAGTGAATAGCAAACCAGTTAATTCACGATGCATGCCGTCACAAATCAGAAATACCAAAGTGGATAGTTTTGAAGTTAATCTGAGGAATGCTTCCTGTATGTTTCTGTTCTCTCATTCAGGCAGAAAATCAAAGCCACTATTCCCTCTCACCTCGCATATGGAAAGAAAGGTTACCCTCCAACAATTCCAGGTACTAGACTAGAAATATCCTACAGCACATGGCAGCGTGACAAATATTAAATCAATATCATATTTCCATATGTATATATAATATAAAGGCAAATTTGGAAAGCCCTATGGGTGTTATATCCAGCGAAGTCTGTTCCAGGCCTAAAGCTTTAGGTGATCTACTAAAAAAAATGTTGAGTGGATGACAGATGAATGACAAAACAGCAAAAGCAACTGTTTCCATGACGGAGATTCAAGAGTCTTTATTATAATTATGCAAGCATAACAAAATTAAGACAATACTCCCTCACGTGATGCAAAAACTTCTGACAGAAATATAAATACAAAATACAGTATTTAAACATGAAATATATACTGACCCGTATTAAAAAGTAAAAAGTTTATACATAGTTATGACGACAAGATGACAGGTCATACAAAGTTTGATTAAAGAATTAATGATTTACAGGAATCACATTTCTGCAGCTACGTGCCCACACTCTCTGGCACCATCATCAAAACACCATAAAAAGAGATCATTTGTCCAGTAAAATATATGTAGATAAACACTTGACAAATTAAAGGAAAAAAGTATAGGAGGCATCTTAGTAAGCTGCTGTTCCACCACACATCTGAATACCAGGTTTCTAAGATGTACTTTTATTACCCATCAGCCATAATAGGCTGATGGGGTATAGTCGTCACACTGTTGGGCAGCTAAATTTGTGAATGCCATAACTCATGAACTGACCATCGGTGGTTTGTTTCAGTGAGGTTTAGTAACTGAAGGCCTTCATCATCACAGTAGAAGTGTTTTACCATAAGATAAAGGCGATCACTCGTGGCTTTTCTTTCAGCTTACTATCCCCTCAAGAATATATCAAGAATAAAAGATCTGATGTCTCAACAGGACCTGGAAAAACTAGTCCATGCATTCATCTTTAGTAGGCTTGACATCTTTACAGGTCTACCTAAAAAAATCAGTCAGACAACTACAGCTCATTCAGAACTCTGCTGCTCGAGTCCTCACTAAGACCAAAAAAGTGGACCACATCAGTCCAGCTCTGAGGTCTTTACACTGGCTGCCTGTCTGTCAGAGGATAGACTTTAAAGTTCTGATGCTGGTCTATAAAGCTCTGAATGGTTTAGGACCAAAATACATCAGTGACCTCCTGACCCAGTATGAACCTTCCAGATCCCTCAGGTCATCTGGATCCGGTTTTTTATCAGTTCCCAGAGTCAGAACCAGACACGGAGAAGCTGCATTCAGCTTTTATGCTCCGTATATCTGGAACAAACTCCCAGAAAGCCTCAGATCAGATGAAACACTCAGTTTATTTAAATCCAGGTTGAAGACTCACCTGTTCTCAGCTGCATTTGAATAAAAAACCAAATCCACACTTTTAAGCTTAAATTTCAAAACTTACATTTTAACTACTGATTTTATCTACTGTTCTGATTTTACCTGTTTTTTTTAAATCATGCTTTTTATTTGTTTTTGTTTTTTAATGTCTCTGTAAAGCACTTTGAATCACCTTGTTGTTGAATTGTGCTATGTAAATAAACTTGCCTTGCCTGAGAGAGTCTGATCATGCCCTGAGGATGAGCTGCACCCCCTGTCTAAGCCTTTCTGCTACATGGGGGAAACTATATCTTCTGATGTGTCCTGATTTGATTCTTCCGAGTTCATTTCTGAAAATATATGCAGAGAGGCACTGCGTTGCGTGGAAGCATTTCATTGCATTGTTTTTGTTTCTCCAGTTAACTTTTATATGTTTTCCCCTTTATTTTCTGACTCATGTAACATATAATTATAAACAACAGATATAACCTTTAAGAGATTTTTGCAGAATAATGACTGTGATATGGATCTGTCCTAGGTAATGCTGCTCTGGAGTTCGAGGTGGAGGTGATTTCACTCTCACAGCAGACGCAGTGGCAGAGGATGGTCAACGATGTGTTCCCCCTGGTGTGTTTGGCCCTGGTGCCCACTCTGCTGGGCTTGGTGGGACTTTACCTCTACAAAAAGGCCAGTGCCCAGAAGGCTAGCAAAAAGAAGGCCAAGGATAAGAAGAGCAAGAAGAAATAAGGACAAATCACTGAACTATTTAAATAAATGTTTTTTTAATTGAACTTGTTCTTTATGTTTGTGTTGAATTGAGATGAGATGGATTTAGAGTAGGTCCTTGTTCATTGGTAGTATGCCAAGACTTTAAAGGCTGTTATGTGTTAAGTGACCTCTCAGGACAAACAGAAAATTACAGGTGAAGAACCTGAAACTGACAGTGCTTGTATCTAAACAGGCTGTTTCTAGGAGTTTAGGCTCACACTGTATTCAGATCTCAAATCAAATGTATATGTAGTCCATACAGCATGCCAGCTTCAAACATACATACAGAAGCACTGCCCTGCGTTGATCTGACAGGTGGAAATCATCTTGGGAGCAATTGAGAGAGCAGAGAACAGCGAATACAGTGAAATAGAAAACTGGAGTGTGTGGGTAGGATTAATAAGAAAGGTATTTTAATTTTGAAGTTCAACAGCAAAGACTCACAGGTCAAATATTAGTGTCTAGTGGACACACATCATATCATCATCCAGGGTGTTGGCTGTCATAATCCTGATAAATTTCCTAATAGATTTGTAAGCCTACAGTTCAGTCACTGAAAAGAAAGATCACATTTACTTTATAGCAATACTAATTTGGGCAACTGGTAAGCTGTAAACCAATGGAACAGCAGACTTTTAGATGTTTATTTATTACAAAAAAAACCATAATTTGTTATGTTATTTTGTTAAGTTATTTCACCAGAAGAAGCATAAAGGGACTGTTTAGAAGCACCTGCTTCACATCCTCATGTAACAACAGCGAGTTTAAACCACCTTTTTTTTTTATTTAGGCCTCTTTTGTAAGGACCTGCTCATTTGTGTACAGAGAAAGGACAGGAAGCTTTGAAAGATGTCCACTGAATAGGCTTATGTATAAAGACACATTAATTAAAAGCCAAATTGTGGTGTGCCACTATTCTCTGCGGTACTGATCATCACCTAATAAGTCCATAAATAAATTTGGACCATTTTTCCTTTTTGAAGATAACTCACATGAAACCCCAAGATCAAGTTGTAAAAAGAGTCATGTGGACCTCAATCTGAATACAGTCATGGAAAATTATTCTAATGTGGTATTATTAGCATTTTCCCTGCTTTTCTTTTGAGCACTACACTGTCCTTTAGGTACAGTGACTCATAATGTCATGTAGCTTTATTGCAACTACACAGCCCATTTTGGTCTAGTTAAACACTGTTTCCTGGAAAAGAAAGAGTGTGCCAGTATAATAATACAATACAATATAATAATAATAATGTAATATAGGAATTTAATACAATTCTGCTGTCAGATTAAGAAAATATCTTCAGGTACTGGTGTTATTATCCATACTGATATTTATATAGTGAACTTAAAGGCCATTTTGCTGTGAACCCCAAGTTTTATATATTCATACATATGTATATATAGAGAGATAATGTGATTCATTTATTTGACTCTCATTTTAATAACAATTAGAACCTGTTGTTTAGCTAGACAAATCCAGTTTTTAACTGGCTTTAGTCGCAGGTGAGCTTGTTTTAACAACCGGTTAGGCCGATGACACCGCCTTTCCCGTTCCAGCATTGCCTTAACTGTTAACTCCGCTCACTCGGGAGACGCGTGGAATTTTATGCGCGATTTGATATCCCTCCGCGAATTTAATGTTGTTGTTTTTGTTATTTCCCATAAAAATCTATATTTTTGCTTTTGTTTCAGCCTAGTGCACAATAGCCACATTTCTTTTGCAAATATTAAAAAGTAAAGCAAGACATCAATGGCCTTCGTCGTTTTGTTCGTAACATTTAGAGGGCGGAGCATCCGCACTACTTCTCACGGTGCAACCTCTTCCGGCCCTCTTTCCAGCTTCCCGTGCAACATGGTGAGTGTGTTTCACTGATGGCCGAATCATGAAAACAGAATAAACCTATGTTTTAGTCGACTAGTGGCACATAATTACATTTCTTTGGGTATTTTAATCCCACGTGTAAGTCACAAAACTGAGAGTTGATATTAACTGTCATCCTGGAAGATTAAAAATGAGTTTGGGCCTAATGCTAGCCGTTAGCACGCTAGCCATTTTGTGCATGTGTTCCGTGTGCTAGCAAAGGATAACGACGGTGCAGGTTTGGGCTGTAACATAGCTAACAGATGCGGCTAAAAAGAAAAGCCACATCACAGCGATTGACAAAGCAACCAATAAAATATAACAGTTCATGATTAAAAATGTGTTTTTCAGTAAGCCTCTACCGTGACTTGAGTCAGTCGTACCGTGTAAGAGTGATAGATTGATATATGATTGTACAAAACTCAATGATGATAAATGTCTCGTGATTGATGGCATTAGTTCATACGTGTGTGTGGAACTAGATTGCACGTGCATCAGTTTAAGGGGTTCCCACTAACGTTGAGACGTTATAGTGAACGTCAAGTAATAATCCGAGAAATCGTCAGGGAGCTGCTGTTTTTAATATAATAAAGATCTCATTCAGACTAGACTGTCAGTTTCAAGCGACTGCTTTGTGGCCAGTGTTAATAACTGGTGTGGCTGGGTGGTGGTGAAAAGGTTTGAAACCAGTGCTGATGTGGGATTTCTAGGGGAAAGCAGATATATTCTTGTGATTGTTAATTGTTTCCACCTTAACACAGCTGAATTTTTGAGACTGCCTAATGTAGTCTTCTGTTTTAACATTTTACTCAGGTTTACTTTGTCGTTGGTTACCCTGATTATTGTATTTTGGCAGACCAAGAAGAGGAGGAACAACGGTCGTGCTAAGAAGGGCCGTGGGCATGTGCAGCCCATCCGCTGCACCAACTGTGCCCGTTGTGTCCCCAAGGACAAGGCCATCAAGAAGTTTGTGATCAGGAATATCGTGGAGGCGGCAGCCGTGAGAGACATCTCAGAGGCCAGCGTCTTTGACTGTGAGTGTATTGTACTTAATTTCATAAAACCCCCTTTTCATACAGATGATTTGACTCATCTGTACCTTTGTCCACTCTGCAGCATATATTCTGCCCAAGCTCTATGTGAAGCTGCACTACTGTGTCAGCTGTGCCATCCACAGCAAGGTGGTGAGGAACCGCTCCTGTGAGGCCAGGAAAGACCGCACCCCACCACCCAGGTTCAGGCCTGCTGTAAGTACTATTTAAACACAGTTCTTACCTCCTGTTGTGTAGCTCCATTAATAAGTGTTTAGAATTATTTTTGTATAGCACCTTAATTAGGTAGATAATCTCACTACTAATAACAGGAACACAAAAGTATAACTTGAGCAAAGTTCCATCCGTGGTTACACCTGTTTAATCTAAGAATGTTTCTCTTTTACAGGCTGGTGCACCAAGAGCTCCTCCAAAGCCCGTGTAAAGCAGAAATTGAAAATGCTGTAAACCTGACAAATAAATGGAGAAATCTTCACAAAAACATGAACGTGTGAAGCTCATTAATTGAACGATGTTTACTCGTAGGAAAGACAAACTGCTCAAATATTTTATTTGGAATAACTTTTTTTACAGTACAAAACTAACAGTAGCTTAAGATCAAATTATGCAAATGCAAAATTACATATGATACATTTAAAAATGCTCTGCGGTTACTTAAAGCGATATCAGACCACTTGGAGAGCAGGGAAATGCAGGTTAGAAAAACTGAAAAGAACAAAGTTCAACAAGGAAAGTTTAAAAACACGGAATACCACAAAGCTGGAGTTTATTTTTGTAAGTATAGGCTAAAACTGGAGTAGACTGTTTATTTGGTTGTCTTTAAGATTAAAACATAAAGGTGGCTGGGTGTAAGCTGAGGAGCAAAGAGCATTGGTACCACATGCATCAGGTTTAAAAGCACATTACCATTGTAGCACACATGAATTGATGGTGAATTTGCTCCACTAATAATGCAGAACTTGTTACTTAAATATCCAAATTCTGTCAAAGAACTGAACCATTGAATTGAGTAAAACCTTTTTACTTTGAATGTTTTTGTACAATATTTCACTGAAGGTCAACAAAACTGGATACATCAAATATTAAGTTATTTCAGTATTTTTCTTTGGCTCCTAAGTAGCATTACCCAAGTCCTTTTGATGAATTAGTATTTAATGGATTGTTGGTAAAAAAGACTGGTTTTGGGCAGGGTCACTGAGTGGTGTGTTGAGGTATACTCAAAACATGGAGCCTCTTGCACTAACACAGCATAAAGTTTCACACTGAAAATTTGAACCGTTTAGACATAAAACACATTTAAGACCTCCAGCTGAAGGCACAGCAGCAACAACCCAATTCACGCACGTCACACCAACTGGAGAAAAGTCACGTGGGCCTAAATGAGAATATACATAGTGTAAGATGATATGAAGTGACACTGCTAGCTTTGGTGTTACTGCAAATGTTTTGTAGATTTTTAGACTCCCAGGAAACTTTCAGATTCTGATTTGCAAACTAACATCAGTCCCAACTTAATTTAACAGTCTGCTCACAAATTAAGGCAAGATGATTAGAATATTAAAGTAACCTGATGAGAAACAAAATTTTAAAATGTGTTTAGGTTGTGTTACTAGAGTGGCAACCAGATCACCTTACTGCGCTTTGACAATAAAGGACTGAAACAATAACCAAACAAATGTAGATCCACTTGTAACAATTAATCCACCATCAAATGAAACAAGCTGAACATTATGTCATGTATTTTCAAAGATCTTCTGCAAAGAGAAGAACATTTGAATATATCAAGGCTTTAATAACAGCGTTATTAAAAGAACAAGAACACCTTGGGGTTTTCTTGTAACTTATACTTTATGTACAAATATATTATTTACTTTATGTTTTCATTTTTTTGCCACTGTAGTAGGGAAAAGTGCTTAACAGTAGGAAACAGTGGTTCTTTGGCTCAGCATTGGGGAAATTATTTGGTGCTTATAGAGAACCACGGTACTGCTGATCTTAAAAACAGTTTAAAAATGATTACTACTGTTTTATTTCTCTTTGTAGAACAAAACATCCGGAAAGCTGTTTAAATATAAGTCAAGATAAAGTTCAGTATTCACAAACACTGACATGACCCAAAATATGCTTAGATCTGACTGTGAAGGTTCTACAGGATGTAATATTTCTTGGGCATCTATTATGAAAATAGGAAATACCAGTTATCACTACAAGGGAAACTTTACTCAATAAGACACTGTCTGAACTAAAAAACAAACAAACAATGGGATCAAGTTAGTTGATGAATTTGACTAGAGTCACTGTTTTTCCAGTCTTCTCTGCAAATTTCTGTGTATCTTTGGTAAATCTGTCACCGTGTCCCAGATTGATCTTTGTTGTTGTTGAGGATGTGAAAAGAAACCCTAGTTACAATCAACATCAATGAAGTTTTAATTTTTGTGCACAAGTCTGCAATTTAGAATTCAAAGCATCCTTCTCAACAATAAACGTATTGTGCTTGTGTTAAACTAATTACTCACAGAGACTGATTACAACAACCATCTCCGCTGTTTTAACATGAAAATAAATAGAACCAAAAGCTGACACATTTCTCTTCACATTTCATTTCCACACAAATGACCAAGACAAGATATTTTTTTTTCCTTTTCATATATATATATATATATATATATATCCCAAGCGATATGAAAGACTCCCATTTCGTTCTATTGTAACTCAAGCGACTGGTTTAAAATGTCCTAACAGGAAAAAATGTAAATAAAAGTCTTTGTTTCTAACCCATGAGGACGGTAGTGAAGTGCTACTGATTTACTGCACACCCATGTCATAGCAGCATGTTTCAAAAGCCATGCACATTTCATCATCATCAACATTGCTCAGGCATCAGAATTGATCTTTGCTGATAAAACTGTTGGGGGTGGTGGGGGGAGCCAGACTTCTGTTAGATTAAAAAGCTACAGTCAAACTACAAGACAGAAATGATTTTATATCTCACATCCTTCAGTCTGGTTAGAAACGTGTAGAAAGGCACGGGACAATGACGCAACACCAAAATCATGTTTAAATACAGCATAAGCAGATTTGTTGATTATTATTGTTGGTTTGCAGTATGAGGGAGTTTTTGTACGGGGAGAAAACAAACACCTTAACCTCCTTCGGTAATCTCTCAAGTTGTGGCAGTGATGCTCGAATCCTGTTCTTAGTGAGAAAAACATTCCACCTGTTTTTTCTCACATTTTCAGAGAAATGTGCAGGTCATTAATGTATTCTATAAAATAGTTTAATATAGTCATTGTATTCTGGCAGGTATCAGTGCAACAAAAGCAGTCATAGAAAAGGAAAACAATTCATACACTTCCAACACAGCATTCACTCACAGGAATAAAGGCCTTCATTTTCCATTTTACGTTTTAAATTTACTTTCAAAAACAATCACACACAATCTTGCAGCTTTCCTTTCTCTCAGACACACACACACACTCTGTTCACTCCATTCCCACTGAAACCAAAGTGCATTTCTATTCCAATGACAACCCCTCAAACATTAAAGTCTACAGGACTTGGACTTGGTTTTTAAGTTTGGTCTGCACTTTACTTTGCATTATAAAACTTGTACAGAATCAACCCCGGGCTAGGAAAAAACCTGGCCGAACCTAAAGTCTGTTTGAGAATCATTTAATTGGAAAAAGTGCTTTTAGAAGGTGTCAAAAAAATTCTGTAGGGATTGCAAGCCTACAAACTTTATATTTAGCATTTTCTTTCATCTCTGCTAAAGTGTGCAAGGGGTGAAAGATTTCAGCAACAAAAGTCAGATTTGTCTACAATAATGTGTGCAGCAGAGCTAAAATTCTGAATTTTAGAGCAAGGCACATCTGTGGATGAAAAAGTGTTGGCTCTTCATCTACTTTAATAATTTAATATAGATTTGTTGTTAAAAGTGGAAAGAAAGCAACTACTACTCTAATTCGTTAAACATATACACGAGCTTTCCACTAATGCCAACTGTGTCGGTGTCGTTAGGAACATCAGTTTCACACCATCACAGATGCCTTTCACTTTTGTGCAGACCAAACTCAACCAGTTCCCATTCTCAGTGTAAAAAAAAAAAAAAAATTAAGGGCAGCAGGCTGTCCTTTTATTCTCAGTCAAAGATGTGCTCTCCACGGACAATGTGCGAAGAAAATTCATAGCGATCCTGGCTGCGATGGCCACAGATGTTGCACTCAAAAGGCTGCCGAAAACCATGGCAACCCATGTGGATTGTAAACATAACATGGTCCAGGAAAAGCACGCGGCAGTGCTCGCAGCGGAAAGAACGCACAGCTCGCCCCTCCCCGTCTACAACCCGAAAAGTCTCCTTGGAGGTAGAAGAGGGTGCCGTAGGTGAGCTCGGTGTTGGAGCATGTGTGGGAGGAGGGAGAGCAGAATGGCCTCCATCCTCTCTTTCCACCTCCCGGTCTTTGGCATGACTGGGGCTGTGTCTGCCCCGACTCCTGTGGTGTGCGATGGGTGGAGGTGCTGGGTTATGGTTGTTAGAGTGGAGGAGGTGATGGCCGTTGTTACTGTACAAAGTCGGAGTCGGAGCACAGCTGTTGTAAGGCTCATCTGCCATGCTTTCTGTGTCCGTAGAATCCTGGCAGCCATTGCTAGGAGAAGGGGCGTGATTTCGACCCGGAGGCAGGTCTTCGTGACCTTCTGCTGCCTCCCTGCTCCCAACACCCACAGCTCCCAGACCAGCTCCTGCCCCTGTGCAGTCTAACCTTGGCCCAAGGGGAACAGGAGCATGACTGGAGCTGTGAATCGGCCTGAGTTCCGATAAACTTGAAGAGTGACTGGTGGGAAGGTGCAAGGGTCTGAGTGTGTCTGATACCCCTCCTCTTCCAGTACCTGCAACACCTACATATTCTCCTCCCAGACCAGTAAAGTGTGGGGCATCAAGGTCCACTGGGTGCATGTCTCCATCTTTATCCAAACTAGCAGTGAGCTCATAAGGTGTATCTGCAAGGTTGAGGCGTATGTGCTTCTGCCCTGCAACACAGAAAGACATGACTTTATAATACAGTACAATGACAGTCAGCATTTTGGATACATTCTCTATTTTACGATGATGCTGGTTATTTTCCTAATTTTACAAGATGCTCAAAACTTAGTTTTTTCTTTGTGTGTTTCTTTTTTCAGTTAGATTACTATACTGAGAGCAGCTTTCAGACCTTTCCTAACCAAATAAATACTGTGTGCTAATTGAATATCTAAAATTATAGCGGCTGGTAATATAAGCACAACAAAAGATTTCTGTCTTACTTCATGCTGTATTCCAATTCAAGTAATGATTATTGCTTTCTGAGTTTCCTGAAACCGTCCACACTGAGACCAAATGCTCACCTACAAATTTTTGTGGCGTGGATCTCTTGCGTTTGGTGATGCTGTTGGCGAGCCGATCGATAAATGCCATCTTGTCTGAGGATGGCTGCAGTAGAGGATCTGGTATAAACTCTAGCTCTCTCATTTCCTCTCCTGTACAGAGTATAAACAAACTATTATTACTTTTATTTTAGGATTTTCTATTTGTGTTTGCCTAAATTCCGGTTTGGATAAAGTGGGTTCTAAGCGTTAACTTGCTAAGCTGGCAAACTACATGTCTACATTAGATGCTACTACACTCCCTTTAGGAGGCTGGTATTTCTTTAACACCATACTGTGCAAGTTATATCTATGAACACATACCTGAATTTGGTGCACTGGTTGGCTGCTGGGAATCCAGACTCTGTAAATAGCTATGACAGCGCTCACGGTGCTCCTCCAGAGTGCTTTGCTGCTTGTAACTACGGCCACAATAGCTGCACTTATATGGCTTCCCAACAGTTGGAGAAGACACTGGTAAAACAAATGGAAATACAGCATTTTCACTGTTATTGTACACTACAATGGAAAAAAAAAACCGAAGCAAAAAACACACAAACACCTACCGGGCTTGAATCTGTCCTACCTGCATGAGTGCGAAGATGGCCGGTAAGTGCATCCCGTCTTCGACAGGCATAGCTGCAGAAGGGACATTTAAAGGGCTTCTCCCCTGAGTGCAGCTTGATGTGGCGGAGTAGGTTTCCCTTTTGAGTGAAGGACGCGCCACACTGATTACACTGAAATGGTCGCTCACCTGTAGAAAACTTAAACTTGGTAACTCAACCTCTTAAGCATAATTTCTATTTCAAAAAATTTGAGTTAGTTGCAACTATACCTCAACAAAGGGTTTTTTTAAGTCAATATAGTACATCAATTGTATACAATGCTGATTTTCTATAAAATTCCAAGATGTTTTTTTTTTTCCCCCTCATCTGACCTAGTTTCATTAATAACAAGCAAAGATACCATCTCTATATTTATCCAAACTCAACTGACTGATCACCTGTGTGGCTGCGTTTGTGCACCATAAGCACATTAGGCCCAATGCAGATCATTCCACAGATGTCACACTTGAGCTTTCCATTTGGCAGTCTGGTGGCTCCACTTGGCATAGTTTCAGAATTGGTGAGCTCTCTATAGCTTGTGACAGCCTCAGAACCTTGCTCTGGACCTCCTTCCTCTACCCGCTCTCCTCGCTCATCTTCAGTACTCCGACCTGGGTCTTCATCACTATACAACTCCACTTTAATGGAGTTGGCTACAGAAGTGCAAGCGCATTTGTGTTATGCAGCAAAACAATAATCGGAAACACACCAGCAAGCCTACTTCAGACTGGCTAAAAATTAAAAATAAATAAATAAATAAAGATTTTGGAGTGGCCTAGTCAGTATCCGGACTTAAATCAGATTGAGATGCTTTGGCATGAGCTTAAACAGGTCATTTATGTTTGAAAACCCAACAGTGTTTTCAAAACAATTTGAAAACAATTCTCCAAAGATGTGTGAGCCAAAATTCCTCCAGAGCAATGTGAAAGAGTCACTGCTAGTTATCACAAATGCTTGATTGCAGTTATATATGTTATATAATGTATTTGCTTGGATTATATTTAAATTTTGTTCGGTGATCTGAAGCATGTAAGTGGGAAATCATGGGATGTAGTTCACAATGCTGTAAAATACTTTTCCCAGCACTGTAGGGTGAGTAGTGCTGCTCCAGTAAGTTAATTTAAAATTCATATTATTAATGTATAAACATAATCTGATTATGAGAAGAATATTATAAAAATATTTATCTAGATTAGAAAATATGACAAATTTGACAATCACACTGAGAGAATAAAAAGCTTCATATAGATGGAACTAATAAAGATGCTATAAATTCTCACTGACCACTGAGGGAGCGACTGGGAGAGTTTTCCTTGCTGTTTGGGGTGCTCACTGTTGGACCTCCAAGAGCTCCAGAAAACTCTCTTTCCAATGAAGAGTCTCCACTACCTGCTGCCAACAAAAGAACCAAAATAAGATATATAATTTAAAAAAAAAACATGCCTAATTTAGTATATATGGGTGACTAAATAAATCAGAGCTGCACCTGATATGTAAGACCGTCCATTGCAGTCATCAACATCCATACTAGTTCAGACTGAATACTGAAATGACATTTGTGACAAACATAAATTCTCTTTCACGCACACAAACCTAACCATTTGTCTACAATCGCTTAATTCTTTAGCAGAAAACATGAATTATTGCAGGTTGAGGTCGGAACGTGACATTTTCTGAAATCAAGTAATTGTGGTGTGGCTTAGATTGTAAACAGCACGTTAGACTACACCCCTTTCAATTAACAAAGGGGTTAAAAAACTAAATAAACGCTTACATTTAATTTTCTAACTAAGACGTACTACTGTTAATTTGTTGTTGCGGTGCAAGAACGGCCATTCATTTATAACAACAACAATTTAAAAAATAAAATAAAATCCGTGTCTGTTGCTATCAATAAGATTAATCGTGCAAGAAAAATAATTAACTAGCAGCTAATCTCAGCATCGTACCTAACGTTACCAACCCCAGATAAGACTCCCTAACAATTGAGGTGAGCCATGACAACGCTGCTAAAGTGACTTAAAGTTGCGGTAATCTAACATGAGAAAGATTAAATCGGAAATTGAGAAAATAAACGACAAAAAACGGTGCAAACGTTTACATAACGGTGGCGTTGAGGTAACCTAAGTTTACGGCCTTGGCGGCTAACGTTAGCCTACTGCATGTGATGGAAATTACCGTTGGCCAAGTTAGCTAAACTTAACACTTTAACGTTACGGCGGTGTGCCATCACCGACAGCTTGCTAGAAAGCACGGAGCAAAGTTGGAATTAAGTAACATGCGCGGCGATGCGGGTAGATAGCGCTGACTTGTGACAATAATTAACTAGGGCTGACTTGGACACTCCTCGGCGTCGTGTTTAACGCTAGCATAACAAACCAACGCTAGCCTAACGAGCTAGCCACTACTGCCAGTGTTTCCTAAACGGTTGCTATGGCACCCACAGCCAGCCACAATGCTACAGCTAGCCCGCTAGCTGTTGGCCTGCTCCCCTTACAGCTTTAAAGCTGACTTGTATAAAACAACACCACATAAGCAGTAGTTTTAAAGCTGCCCAGTTGTCCAGTAACTACTAAATTACCTTTCCCTGTAAGGGCCGTTTCAGTGAGCTTATTCCGTATTTTCATCTGTTTGATTATGACAGCAGCATCTCCCGGCAGGGTTTACCTCCAGCTTCAAATAATTTCCGGGTTACATCTCCAACGTAGCAACAGCTACCCGTTTCCCAGAGCTCTGGTTAATTACACAACTATCACCCTGCTCATAAAGCAAGCGTGCAAATTAATTTGTAATAATTTATGTTAAATATTAAATTAAAAATATTTTCAACACAACCACTTTTAGTTAGAAATAGCCCAAGATTTCTTTGTTAAACTTTATTTGTGTTATTTACGTGTAAGAAAAGATTTTTATCAAAAAGGTATGATAGATAGATAGATAGATAGATAGATAGATATTAGCAGTCCTTTACAAATCACAAATTAGGCTAACTATTGTCTATTAAAGAAATTGGTTCACTATAGTCATGTGAAAAAGAAAGTCTTTACATGACTGCAGTGCTGTGTAAAAAACTAAGCACTAAGCACACCCCATCATTCAATAGCTTTCATAGCCATCTTTTAGCACCAGTCACTTGAAGTAATTGTTTTTGTGAGACTTTTGTGTGACATCATTGTGGAGAAATTTGGGCCCACTCTTCTTTACAGCGTTGTTTCAGTTCACTGAGCTTTGCAGGCGTTCATTTATGCACAGCTTAAATGTCTGCTGCTGCATTTCAATAAAGTTGGACTTTGACTAGGTCATTCAAGAGGCATAGCTGCAATTTGAGTCTTTTCTTTTTCAGCCATTCGATTTGCTGCTGTGCTTGAGATCGTTGATCTGCTGAATGATCCAGCTTTGGTCAAGGTTTAGCTGTCGGACAGATGGCCTCACATTTGACTAGAATACTTTGCTGTACAGAGGAGGTTAATGGTTGATTCAGTGACTGCAAGGTACACAGGTCCTGTGGCTGCAAAATAAACCCAAATTAACACCACTCCACCACTGTGCTTTACAGTTTGTATGAGGTGTTTGTGCTGAAATGTTGTGTTTGGTTTTCTCCAGCTGTGGTATTTTGCATTCAGAATCAGAATACCTTATCAGTCCTTGAGGAAATTATGTGGCCACAGTTGCTCCAAGACAGTGAGATCAATAATTAACTAACTAAACTAAATTAAACTAAATTAAATAATATAATACTTTACAAAGTTACAAAATAAAACAAAATAGCTCTAATAGATATGATCCCTCGTGGTTTAGCCTCATGGTTTCTTCAAAAGTAACCTTGCAAACCTTAGCTGTGCTGCTATATTCTTTTAAGAGAGAAGATTGTTTCTCATGGCAACCCTTTAAAAACAAGTCATACTTGTTCAGTCATTTTCTAATTGTACTGTCATGAACTTTATCATTTACATGCTAACTGAGGAATATGGAGTCCAAGATGTGAGTCTTAGGTTTTGGGTTTTTTTTGCATTTTTTCTGAGCACTGCATGGTTTGACCTTGGCGTGAATTTGCTAGCACATCCACTCCTGGGAAGATTATGGCATTGTGTTAACATACACCAGATGCTAAGATCCCAAGCCTGTGGGTTCTATGCAGTATGCTTACTGCTCCTAGGACTACATTCTTCTGGAGAGAGATTTCTTTACAGCTCCTGATGGTTCATACCATCAATTCCCAGTCCTTGTCTATGTGTGTGGTGTCTTGTCTTAAATGAAATAACTAAATTCTGAGATATGCATCTTCACTGTTAGAGAATACGTTTTTTTTAAACATGATTATGACTTCAGCTGAACATATAAACAAGTCACTCAAATAAATGTATTCCGCTGCGGCATTGTTTAACCCAGCCTAAATAAATAATTAAATACACGTTTCTTTTTATTTCAGTTTTATTATATATGTTTGTGGCAGCTGGCACTGGCACTAATTTTTTTGCACATTTTCCTGGTGGTGCTCATCCAGGTTTTAAAGACCTGGGCAAAGGTTTTAGTCACTGATCCAGCAATGAGTGATTCCTCTTCCCATCAGACTGTTTTTAAATGTGTTTTACATTAATATACAGATAATTGTACGCAGCAAGGAATCACAGTACTTTTCCCACTACTGCTGTGGATCAGAGCTGGGTACTTTTCTCTTCCTACCACATACTCTACTGTGTTAACAAAAGGTAAATTGTGTGGTTTTCTCCAGTGTATTAAAATGATATCCTTTAGCGGTTATCTTTGAGATTCATATTTTGAATAAATACATTATAAGCTGATGAAATGCATTTTAAAAAGATTTAAAAAATTAAAAGTAACTGAAATTATTTTGTGAAAAAACCAAAAGGAAATAAAACATTTAGAGGAAATGTTGTTTTAGTATTTGTTGGTTTGGTAAAATTTGTTATTGCTACTTGTGTGGTGATATTAAGGCTTGTTTCTGCCACTGAAGAAAAACGACAACAAAAAGAAGTAAGTGGAAAAATGTCAAGTTATTATCTCCAAATTTCACGTTAGATAGATTGATCAACTTACAGGAAAAAAAAATTAATTAGTGGTGGAAACAATCTTCCTTATGATGACACTTTGGTGGATGTGTTTATTGAGACCTTGGATTTCTACAAGACTGAACGTTATACTAGTTTTCCTAAATTGTGCGTCTCACATATGCCCTCCAAACAATACTTACAAAGACTGAAACTGACTAACTAAATAAATAAATAAAAAATCTGAACATTTTCAAACAACAAAAACTAAACTCAAATGGTCAAACCTGCTATGAAACTAACTGAAACTAAACTGAATTAAGAATCAAAAATTTAAAAAATTTTTTTTTTTAAAAAAACCCTCCCTAAAAACTAATTAAATAGTCCAAACCTATAACTCCTCCTCTCTCATCCCAACTTCTTGGTAACCATGTCAAATATAACAGTTAAAATAAGATATAAATCCACAATTTCTGTTCATCCATATATGTCCCTTATATTTTTTTAAACCATTTATTCAACATCAACATATTTTAAAGAACAACAATTATATTCTGCAAATTGTTTCCCACAGCGTGTGTGCAATCAACGTCCTGAAACCTACTTGGCCTGGAAAAGGAAGAGACAAAAAAGTAAGCAACATGACAAAAAGGAGTTGACATGTGCTAATACCACAGCTAGACTAAAAGTCAGTCCTCTTTGGCATATTTTGTATTTTTCCCAATCTTTTCTGAGTGTCATTTTAACCTGTTACCCAAATAACTACATTCATTCTCGACTTTCACACTACATCAAATTCTGCAGCTGACATCTTTTTCCAAGAAAACGCTAAAACTAGCACAGATATGCAACTCTGGTACTATACATATAAAACAAACATTACAAACATTTATTAAAAACATCTGAAATATTATTAAACAGTCCTGAGTATGTATTTACCAGAGATACAGTAATTTCTTTTAGACTTCAGCGGGTCCAAAATTACTTACAAATCTCTCTTCACACACTACCTTTAAAATTGCATAGCACAGAACAAATACTATATCTCATAAAACGTTTACCTTTGATTTATTGCTTATTATTTTTTTAAGTAAATTGTCCCCCAATTGTAGAATGCCCCCTAAGTCTAAAAAATCATGTCTGCACTGAAACTTGGAAAATCAACACTGCTTTATCTGACATTTCTCCGGGTACTGTGCATTGAAGGTCGGTCTGGAAAAGTCTGAAAAAAGTAAGTATGGTGGTCACGCACACGCTGGGACGTACAAAGAGTGACCTCTGCTGTGCAAACGGCCCGTGCCGCTCTGACGTGTGGGCTGATTTTACGACGGTGTGCTTACACAATGACAGTTTCCGTCAGTTTGACTTGCAGATAGCAGCGACCGCGTTGAACCAGCTTTTTTTCTCCCCCCCTCCCCGTTTCCACTTTGGGTTGAAACGACAGTTACATCCTTTCAGAATACCCACCAGAATCGATGCTGTACTGGATGAAGGAAGGGGCTTAGTTTTATACGACTATAAGCTGTATTTACGGTAGCTAAACTCTGCAGTTCCAGTTTGAGGCCCAGCGGAGAACTCGAGCGGCGGCTCGAAAAAGTTTGTTGTTGTCACGTGACGCGAGACGAATGTGGCGATAAAAGTTTGCTTAGATAGTAAATATAGGTGGCGTACTACATTTTTCAAAGACCTACTCAACACCGTTTTTCACTACAATGCCTCAACCGAAATACAGAAAGATCGCCGTTATAGGTTACCGGTCTGTAGGTGAGTACAGGTTCGAGCTCTTGCACAGCTAGCTTGGGTAACAGGCTAACGTCCTGGCTTTGTTTTCCTTGTGAGCGTATCCGAAGTACAACAGTAACGCTAGCTTACCTTTGTTTCTCAGGGCTCTTTTTCTCTCTGCTACATTAACTACTAAAGCACCTTCAAGTCAACCAGTGTTGCTGTACAGTTGTATCCACACGTTTCTAGATGAAAGGTGACCGGTGAAAATAAACTTAGCCGGGGATACTCTGGTGGAGTGCCAAGTAATGTGTGCTCCAAACCTCTAGTTTAGCAGGTCAATCATAACGTCCAGATTTTAAGAACCTCAATCTGCAACAAGAATAAACCTCTTATTGTATTATTTAAATTAGTTTAAATTATGAAACCTCATTGTGTGACTAATGAAGCGCCATAATTTGTTGTTCACCTATATTTGTGGCCTAGTGACTTTTTGTTTACACAAGTGTCGGCGTCTATATTAAAAAGGAGAGTGTAAAGTGTGTACTTTAAAATGTGGTGTTTTAAAAAACAAAACAAAACTCTTGAAAGAAAGTTTCTTTCTAAAAGTCTACAAATAAATCAACGACAGTTTTGAATCAGCATCAGTATAGTAATAGGTGCATGTGTTTTACAGAGAAATATCAGTATTTGTCACAGAAACTA